GCAGCGCGGCGCGTGCCTGCGGGTATATGGCAAGACCGGCGCCTGGCGTGGCAACGCCGGCGTGATGTGAGTAAATGAACGCCAGCACGATCGTGCACCGCGTCACCTCGAAATGTATTGGCGCCTTGACTGTGATATGTAATCATGTTTTCACACGACACGCATCTTATAATTATCGTGTTTGCAACAGTTGTGTAGCTTCGTCATCCATTGACGTGACGTAATACAAAATTTCGCGTATGAGAAGGTTGTGAAACGACTGCGAGCGCATAATAAGTGTGGCATGTAGTCATGTCACATAACACGCATATCATGATTATCATGCTAGGGTGTGTCATTTACCTATGTCGTCTGTTCGCCTAGAGTAATACCGAGTTTGGTACATGTGAAGCTAGTGGGAAGGCCACAAGCACATCATGAGCGTAGCATGTATTCATATTCCATGGCACGCATCTCATGTTAATCATATTTGCATCAGCATCGTACCTTCGTCTACCATTCATGTGACGTAATACGAAATTTGGTACATGTGCAGCTAGCGAAACGGCCGCGAGCGCATGATGAGCGTATCATGTAGCCATGTCATTACACGACGCATATCCCATGATTATCATGTTTGCACCAGTCACACACCTTCGTCATCAATTGGCCTCCCGTAATACCATATTTGTTATAAGATGGCGAAACGACTGTGAGTGAATCAAGAGCGTGGCATGCAGTCATGTTCTTACGTGACATGCATGTCATAATTATCATCTTGGCACCAGTCACATACCTTCGTAATCCGTTCACGTCCCATAGTACCAAATGCGGTATATGGGACGCTAGTTAACGGCCGCGAGTGCATCATTAGCGTGGCATGTGGTCATGTTGTTACATGACACGCATGTCATTATTTTCATGTTAGGGTTGGTCGCTTGTGTTCGGCATGCAATCATCTCATACCATACCAGTTTTGCACCATGCCATGTGAACGAAACCACCGCAAGAACTGCAAGACTATGAAATGTTATTCATAACATTCATGACATACAATTCACGATTTTCATGTTGTGACTAGTCAAATATGTTCTTCATACAGTCATGTTATGCCATACCAAGTTTGGTATCGATATCATTATCGAAACGGCCAGGAGAGTTAAAGCCATAGGCGGCTAGATAGATAGATAGATACATAGATAGATAGATAGATAGATAGATAGATAGATAGATAGTTAGATAGATAGATAGATAGATAGATAGACAGATAGATAGATAGATAGATAGATAGATAGATAGATAGATAGATAGATAGATAGATAGATAGATAGATAGATAGATAGATAGATAGATAGATAGATAGATAGATAGATAGATAGATAGATAGATACGCGCAAAGTCGCCGAAGTTTGCTAAGAAATGCTTCGCTTTTAAAAAATACTGGTTTTGTCGTACAGTTAATCGCGCTCCTCCTAAAAATCTGGGAACGGGTAGCACACGTTTATATCCCGTTCCTAAGGGGAGCGCAACTACATTTACCCATGTTCCTACAAATAGGCTCGGAGTAAGGCACTAATAGGTTTAAACAGACTCAAAAGTAAATATTGAAATTTTCCGAGCAGGCCTTGCTCTATGATTTTCGTCAAACGTCAAGGAAGTGAGATTGACCCAAGGAGGTTCAAATACGATTGCTGGAGTGGAAGCTCCCGCGATGCCTTGCCAGCAGTAGTGAAGCCAGCTTTTGTCTTCTGAAAATCCCAGAAACATGCTAATTTCTGGTGGTGTTTACTAAGACTCCAAGTAGCTTAGATTTGATAGTATAAAGGCTACGTCCATTAAAATTTTAAAGAAGTTGTTTCCGAAGAAATAATGTGCAGAGTCTAGTAGTTCATCTGTTCTGTCTGTCTTAAACTGCACGTTACGCCTGATGCAGGACAAGATTAGACTAAAAGGAGCTTCGCCCCTAAAATGACGCTTGGGCCAGGCCCGGGCTGGTGGTCACAATCAGGCACTGCAGTGTTTGGAAAAAGTTGCTCACGATATAGAATACTTCTTACTCAACTATGGGAGAGCAAGAAACCGTCTCGTGGGGCTCACATTTCATGAGGCGGCCGTCGACAAATATTGAGGTCACAGATTTGTGTGTTTAGAAAAGAGGTAAAAATTTAGAGAAATTTGTTCTCCGCTATGGGAGAGCATAAAGCCTTCCCCTAGCCTCACATAGTGCCCATATAAATCTGGTAACACCCCATGTACGGCAATAATAATACGTGTAACAGCGGTGCTTGATCACTTGTTCAAATACAGCAACAACACCGAAAGTCTTTCAAATGGCACGGTGGAGCGGCAACGATGCGGTCGCTCAGAAATCCGATTTTGCTTTTTGTGCAGTTAGTCGCCTGGTTTGGAACATTACCATCGCGTGCGAATCCAGCGCGTGCCAACTACTCTTCACCGGTGTTGCTGGCGGCCCCGATCTGGATGAACACGCCCCTGCGTCATCTGCCACTATCTGACGGTGGCATCCTTTCCATCGTCACCTGGTCCACAACACTGCGGGCGACTGCAGCGACGCAAGAGCATATAAAGACCACGGAATTCTCCTGTTCCTTCAGTGGGCACGGTGGAGCGGCAACGATGCGGTCGCTCAGAAATCCGATTTTGCTTTTTGTGCAGTTAGTCGCCTGGTTTGGAACATTACCATCGCGTGCGAATCCAGCGCGTGCCAACTACTCTTCACCGGTGTTGCTGGCGGCCCCGATCTGGATGAACACGCCCCTGCGTCATCTGCCACTATCTGACGGTGGCATCCTTTCCATCGTCACCTGGTCCACAACACTGCGGGCGACTGCAGCGACGCAAGAGCATATAAAGACCACGGAATTCTCCTGTTCCTTCAGTGGGCACGGTGGAGCGGCAACGATGCGGTCGCTCAGAAATCCGATTTTGCTTTTTGGTGCAGGTCAGTAAACCTCCTTCTCTCTACTGTAAGCGAACCAGTAACGTCTGTCTGCTGCTCCTACCGTGCCCAAGTGTCATATTTGAATGTGTGTGCGAATGCGTGCATGTCACAAAGCTTCTACTATGTTGTGGAGACGTTGAACTAAACCCTGGCCCTGCAAATACTAACAAAGAAATACTAGACGCGATCGCTAAGCTATCTGAAAAAGGTGATCACCGTCACGATGAGCTAATGGAAGCTCTTGCCGACCTAAAGACTAAACAGGAGGCATTAGCGCAAACTGTTGCTGATTTAACGGAAAGGTTGTCGGCGGTGGAAGCTTTCGTCGAGTCATGCGACGGTTCTGCAGTAGTCAGTGATGTGCCACGTCTAATCGCTGAAACTGTCAAGGTGCAAGGCCAGACACTCAGTGCCCGACTGGACGATCTTGAAGACAGGTCCAGACGAGAGAACGTATTGTTTTTTGGTATATCGGACAGCCCTAATGAGACGTGGGCTCAGTCTGAAGGCCATGTTCGTGATCTACTCTCCCGACACCTTGACATGCACATTTCTGACTCCGAAGTTTCCCGAGCACATAGGTTAGGAAGTTACGCCGCTAAAAAAGCTCGGCCAATTATCGTCAAATTTTCGTCATTTAAGGTTAGAGATGCTATCCTGATGCAGAGACAAAAATTCAAAGGAACTGGTGTATCAGCTAGCGAAGATTTTTGCAAAAGCACGCGAAATTCGAGGAAGAAATTAATGGAATTTGCTAAGGCAGCCGGGCAACCGTATTTGCTACGCGTTAACAAACTGGTCATGAACAAGAAAACTTACGTTTACTGCGCAGAAAGCGACAGCGTTCGCGAAATCAATTCACCCCAAGCTAAGGACAAAGAACCCTCTCTACCTGCACGTGCTGACACTTCTAGCACCTCATAGCTACGCCCGTCTCGCTGCTGCGCAGGAAACGCTTCTTTTTTCTTTTCTAATGTGCGCAGCGTCCTGAATAAACGCGTCGAACTGTCTTCTGCTATTGATTCCTGTTCCGCTGATATTGTTGGTCTGACAGAGACTTGGCTTTCTACAAAAGTAAGAAATGAAGAAATATTGGATTGTGAGAAGCACTACAAATTTTACCGATGCGACCGCGATTACCGGTCTGGTGGGGGTGTTCTGCTGGCGGTTGCCGATAATCTTGCCTCTCATATTATTCCTGTTATGTCTTCACTTGAACTTGTTTGTGTCCGCGTGCTCATTGATTCTCGCGAAATAATATTTTGTATTTGCTATCGATCACCAACTGCATCATCATCCTTTTGCAATGACTTGCATGATGTTGTCAATCAGCTGTTCGTCAGATACCCGAGATCACCTTTGTTCATTCTTGGCGATTTCAACTTTCCCGACATCATGTGGGAAAGAGACCCGGTTACCGTAAAGCACAACTCAGGTGAAAGTAGGGAATTTTTGAATTTTTGTCACGACTTCAACTTTACCCAGCTTGTTGACTTTCCTACTCGCGTTACTCCCACTTCCGCTAGCGTATTAGATCTAGTACTTACCAGTACACCTGACCTAGCTTCACCCTTCACTCATCTACCGGGAATTAGCGACCATTGCATAATCCACTTCACAATAAAAGCACGGGTTTCCATCAAGAAAAGAACAAAAATTATCCAAGACTATAGCAAAGCGGACTTTCATGGAATGAATACAGAGTTACAATCTTTTGTTGACCTATTCTTTGCTGGTTTTGAGCAGCGATCTGTTGAACAGAACTGGCTAGACTATAAGAACAAACTGCTAGCCCTAATTGACCGATTTGTACCTAAGAGAAAAGTTTCATCGAATCCTCGTTCTCCGTGGTTCAATAACACGTTGAAACGCATGCGCAATAAAAAGAAGCGACTATTCAGACGCGCCAAATCAACAGCCAGAACAGACCATTGGTCTTTTTATCAGACATTTAACAGAGAATTTTGTACTGCGCTTTCGAAAGCCAAAAAAGTATTTTTCGATGAAACTCTTCCTTCGCTGCTGCGCTCTAACCCACGTAAGTTTTGGAGCATCATTAGCGGAACTACAACGCGACATATCCAATTAATACAGTCTGATGTCCCAGTCGCTCTTAGCGAGTGCTGCAACGTTCTGAGTAATGTATTTGCTGCACACTTTCAGAACAGCATCCCAACTATATTTCCACAGTTAACAAGCACCGATTTCTTGCCAATGGACCCTATTATCATTGATGCAGTTGGTGTCGAAAAACTTGTTGGAAACTTGACAGTGTCATCATCAGCTGGTCCAGATTGCATTTCGTCAAAAATGTTGAAGTGTACTCAAGTCTATTCTTCTTTAATATTGTCAAAACTTTTTGAACAGTCATTACAGACGTCCACACTGCCATCTGACTGGAAGACTGGGAAGGTGGTCCCTGTGCATAAATCTGGTGATGTACATTCCCCCAATAACTACCGTCCCATATCGTTAACATCCATTCCAGTGAAAATCTTAGAGCATGTCATATACTCGCACCTCATTGAATTCCTTGAATCTAATTCCTTCTTTAGCATTTATCAGCATGGCTTCCGTAAGACAGTTTCATGCGAAACACAGTTGCTGTGTTTTACTAACGACTTGTTTATTAACGCAGATCTTGAATTTGATACTGACTGCATATACTTAGATTTCGCTAAAGCATTTGACTCCGTTTCACACGCACTAATCATTTTCAAACTTACTCAGCTTAACATCGACCCCAATGTACTTACATGGATTAAAGAATTCCTCTCTAACCGCAGCCAGTACGTGACAGCTAATAATTTTTGTTCACCTTAATTCCGCAGTATCATCTGGTGTACCGCAAGGGTCCGTTTTAGGGCCACTCCTTTTCTTAATTTACATTAATGATCTTCCTTCTTGTGTTTCTTCTTCTACTGTCCGACTCTTTGCAGACGACTGCGTCCTCTACCAGAAAATAACCAGTCATGTCGATCACCTTAACCTTCAACGCGACCTAGATAGCATATTCGCATGGTGTAACACATGGTTCATGACACTTAACATATCTAAATGCAAGAGCATGCAAGTTTCACGTCGCACTACCACCCACTGTCCGCGTACTTATTCCCTCAATAACATTCCATTACCATCTGTTGACAATTACAAATACCTTGGTGTTCACATATCTTCTAATCTTTCCTGGAATAAACACACAGAATATGTGATTAACAACGCTAACCGCATGCTTGGTTATCTGCGCCGTAACTTTTCCTCTGCGCCATCGTCACTCAAGTTAACACTGTATAAAACATTGGTCAGACCAAAATTAGAGTACGCATGCGCCATATGGGACCCAACTCATGCCATTCTCATTCAATCTCTCGAAACCACTCAGAATCGCGCAGCACGTTTCATTTTATCGAATTATTCACGTCATTCCAGTGTCACATCCATGAAGAGCACCCTAAACTTGCCTGATCTTTCATTGCGCCGCACATTGTCTCGCCTTAACCTTTTTCACAAAATCTATCATTATAACAGCCATTTGAAGGACGCCCTGTTTCATCCACCTCGCTTCATATCACCAAGGATGGATCATCGCTTTAAGGTGGGCCTACCATCCTGTCGCACCAGACTATATAATGATTCATTCGTGCCAAGGACAAGCGCCGCCTGGAACCACCTTCCCGCCTCCATCGCCTGTATAACGGACCAAAAAGACTTCAAGCTCGCCATACATGATGCCCTGTAGAATTTTTCTTTTTTTTCCTGTTTTCTGTTTTTTTTTTTTTTTTTAACTTTTTAACTGCACTTACGATTGTTCAAACCACTCCTTTCTGTAGTGCCTTCGGGCCTTGAAAGTACCTTTAATAAATAAATAAATAAATAAATAAATAAATAAATAAAACCCCCTATATTCTTCACAAATGCGATAGTCAGATATCTGGATTTCCAAAACATCTTGACTCAAATTATCACGGGGTTCGAATTCAGTTTCACTGTTGTTAAAGCGTTTTATGATCTGCATGTTACTATTACTTAATTCATATTATGGCACATAGCGAAAACATTTTAGTATTTATTCACCAATACATTTTTAAAGCTCCGCGGTGGAACTACATAAGATCGACGAGTCTAACCTAGGAATAAATAAGGAGGTTATGAAAAAGTGCTGGAGTGGAAATTCTTGCCCACAAGAGAAGCAGTGCCAACCGTAACATGGCGGCTGCAGTTGCCATCTTATTAGGGGCATGATGAGCTGTTGACGGTCGGCGATTCAGAAGAAGCGCTCTCTTCGCACGTCCGCTGAGTTTAACGTGGCATCCTTTTAGGGTCACATAGTGTTCAAAGTGCGTCCTTGCGTTGCTAGTTTTCTTTGGTAAGCTTCGAATTCAAGGCGAATTTCAATGGAGATTATGTCATCACTACTAGTCTCTGAGGAATATTTTTTCGGAAACAATTGTCTTTTAATTTAAAATTACCGTAGCCTTTAGACCAACAAATCAAAGCCACTTGATCTCTAAGTGGGCACCACCGGAAAAAAAGCATGTTTCTGAGATCTTTGGAGGGCAAAAGCTGGCTGGGCTGCTGCTGGTAAAGCGTTGGGGGAGCTTCCACTCCAGCAATTTTTTTAAACCACATTCACTTCACCTCATAAGCAGTTCGTCATTGAGCGCACCTTTTCATATACGGGACCGCTGTTCATATCGAAGGAACTCCCACGTCGAGAATTCTTGCTCCGCGCTCCCGTTTTCCACAGGCGCACGAAAGTCCTCTTGAGGTAATAAAGAGATCTCTTGTTGCTCACATTGTTGTTTTTCGCACAATTTCATCGCACCTTTATTTCGGGATTCCGGCCTGTGTTACGCCCAAGTACTGTACATTGAGATAGTCATTATTGTGAATTACGTTATCTTGGGTCTTCTGCATTTCCATCGTTAGAAAAAAACAATAAAAACAGTGTGGGTATACAAGAGCAGAAACACAACAGAACTGGGTGCTGACTGCCAATCTTCTGAACGCCTTTCAATTCAACCGACGGCAACTTCTTCTTGAGAAATCTGCTAAAAATACTCTGCCACATGAGCTCGCTAAACTGAGATGCTGAGCAAATATTCTGGAAATTTCCTGGTTCACGAACACCACCGGTTAAGAGGCGTGTTCTCTCGGTGGGTCGTCTAAAGGCAAGCACCGTAAACTGCGTACAGCACCTTTTTAAAAGACTGACAGCGCATTTTTCTGTAAAGTACTTGTAGAAACCGCCTAAGCTAAAAATCCAACCAGCATAGAAATGGGCTTCTACTGGCGGCGCAAAGCAGCGCGGAAAAGAAATCCTTCTCGGCTTATGCAGCTTAGCCTTTCAAGAACGCGGAAGAGATGAACGTGGGGAAGAACGTGCATGTACGCCGGATTGTTTGGTTGCCTTGCAAAAATATAGGCACTCAAATTTTGAGTTTTTTTGGATAAACAAGGGCTCGTTCTCTTTGTATATCTTTATCCCATTTTCTCGCTAGCCTGACGTTCAAGAAGCAATTAATATTATTGTACAAGTTAACGTGCAAGAGATTGCTACCCAAAAAGCTTTAAAAATTCTTCATTGTATACTTGCGCACAGAAGCCATCAGCGCCAACATACCTTTAGTTTAGAGGTTTAAAAGCAGCGAGAATAGCATCGACGTACCTCCATTCTCGAGGCCTTACAATTTCCATCAAGAAGTGTGCCTTAGTCCCTTTTGCCCGCAAGCCCATGGTCTATGATCCTGTTTCGATCGACAACGTGAACCTTTCGTATACGAGACGTCACCGATTCCTGGGCGTCACTATCGACAGAGATCTCTTGTGGAGTGCTCACATCTCGCACCTAATGAAGAGGCTCAGCTCTATCACACACGTGGTGAGATTTCTCGCTGGTAAAATGTGGGTCACATCAGTGTCATCTATGCTTCAGCTTGACAGAGCGCTGCTCTTCTTGGGATATTTGAGGTATAGCACGCCCGTGCTTTCCAACGCCGGAAAAACTTACATCAGGGTCCTGCAAAGCATTCAAGGCCAAGTCCTCCGCACATGCTTGGGGCTACTCTGGTGCGCTAATACGTTAGCAACAATTGGTATTGCTAAAGGCCATTCGATCACGACATATAAAACTGTCGACACACTCCGTACACATATCCGTCACATATCCAGAGTGCCTAACCACCACCTTGCTAGCTTGCCACTAAAAGACCAAAGGCAGCGTTTTCCAAAGTTGTTGCGGCTAAGCAGAATTCCATCTCGTGGAGATTCTCGCCCGCAGCCGTACCACTATATCCAGAGTGGAGCATGAAAAGACCGACTGTGCACCTTGAAGTGCCGGGGATATCTAAAAAGGCAAGCCTGTCATCTGCAGCGCTAAAGCAGATCTCACTGGACCTTTTGCATTTGTCGTATCCCAACTGAATTCATGTTTACACGGACGGTTCGGCCTCGGGAAGTTCAGCAGGTGCCTTTGTCATATCATGTCGATCAACCACTGCCAAATTAAAGACATCACACGTCACGACATCTACGGGGTCCGAGCTCCCGCTCTTCGAGCTGCTTTGGAGTTTGTTACGCAAGAATCTCCTTGTAGATGGGCCATATTTTGCGACTCCAAGGCAGCCCTTCAATGTGTGCAAAGACCACGACGTGGAAACTACCACCAGATGGTGTATCGTATTAATGAAATGTGTCATCGCGCTGCTGATCAAGGACACGATATTGTTTTACAATGGTTGCCGGGCCACTGTGGCATAAGTGGTAACAACTTCGCCAACGACGCTGCCTGATGTGCCCACGATGGAGCGCCCACACTGGTAATACCCTTGTCAAGAGTAGACGCAGCTAGAGAACTTCGTCACATCGCGCATAATGCCACGCTTGCGCACTGGAATTCTCCACTTGACTCCAATCATCGCCCTAAGAACCTTAAATCATTACTCCAGAAACAACTGCCATCCAAGATTTCTCGACGTGACGCTGCAATGCTGTGCCGACTGTGGACTGGGGTAGCGTTTACTAAGTCATTCAGCCATCGTATTGGCATGGAAGATTCATCCATGTGTGAAATCGGCAACTGTATATAGACTATTGAACATCTCTTGTGCCACTGTGCCCAATTCGATGAAGATCGCCAGACTCTCCAGTGTGCCTTGAATAGACTCGATGACCGGCCATTTAACCCTTTCAGCCCTGGGTTTTTATTTTGGTCAGATACACTTTTTGTGCACGTTTTTATTGTAGTTAGGACCTCAAAAGACCACAAACAAAAAAATTGGGCCACTGGTACAAATATTTTTGGATTAATTATAGTGGCATCAAACTAGGTGATTAAGGCCCACTGATTAGAAAAAAAGAAAAATGGCTTCTTTTTTCCTTGCCAATCAATAGTGTACACAAAATGGAAACCAACGTCTTGCTTTTCAGCCTAATAGTCACTGAAACGGCTTCGGTACGTCGTCCCGAAAATGGCGCGTACCCGCCTCAAATTACGCACCTCGGCTTCACGAAAGACCTCGGTCGCGCTTCTTCTTCTTCGTGGCTGCTACCTCCACAAACGTGCCGCAATATTGGTGTCAATTGCAGTGGGGATAATAGAAGAACTATGCCCCCAAGAATGAGTAGTATTAGTTACGTTTCCGAAATACTAAGAGAAATGTGGTGCGGCGGTGTCAATTGACACCACAAGGGCCGAAAGGGTTAATGAAGCAAAAATCTTAGGAGCCTGGTCGCGCAGCACATTAGCATAGAAAGCCAGACGAGCCCTCCTGAGATACTTGACAGCAACTTCATTGAGGAACCGCCTGTGAAGCTCGGCATTGTATGTGTGATGTGACATGTTTCTATCCTTCTCTCTCTTTTTTTACTCCCCTCTCCTCTTCCCTATGTGTAGGGTAGCAAACTAGACGCATAGTCCATTTAACCTTCCTACCTTTCCCACAATTCTTCTCTCTCTCTCTCTCTCTCTCTCTCTCGCATTACGGCAATGAGGCTTCCGGAAAATAAGATTAATCTTCGACGCAGGAAAAGACATTCCTATTCTATAATGTCTGTGCGCTCTTTAACTCTCCGAGCTTTAAAAGCTGGTTTTGGGTTTTTCGCTCACTATCGGCTGTGCGATAGATACATAAATCGATAGATAAATAATACAGTGGAAAGGACTATCAGTAGTGGGGACGATCCGGACAATTTGTAGTGATTGACATAGTACTTGACTGTGAAATTACATTCCTTTATACAGTATCATATATATGTGACGCTTCACAGGTGAATGTGGGAAAGGAAGATGAGGAAGACGAAGGGTCAGAATAAACTGGTGTTCTGACTGACGCCATGTCTCATCCGTTACACTAAGTCGACAGGATCTACCGCAGCAAAATCACGAGCCCACTAAAGAAGATGATCAGCCTGCCGAAATACACCGGAGCTAAAGACGACGTCCCTGTTGACAAGTGGTTGCACCTCTTCGAAACGAAAGCGCGCAACGTCAGCTGGTCCGAACGAGATCACATCAACTGCATCAGCGAGTATCTGGAAGGTGAGGCATTCCGCTGGTACCTCACCGAGATTTTCGACGCAGAAGATACGTGGGAAGGCATCAAAACAAGCATGATATCACAATTTTCTGCACCTGTTAGTGACCCTTTCCGCCAATTCATACAC